AATGAAATCCTTGCAGAAAGCAGGGTGAGAGGAAGTATAGTTAAGGTAATTGTGGGAATCAATCGGTTTGTTGGGCATATTTATGGATGCCCTATCCCCAAAAATGGAAAGGTGAAATCAAGGATGGAAGTGAAGAATCTGAGATGGACCAGGTGAAGGTAAGAGAAGGACAGAAGTTGAAAGCAAAACCATTGGATTTTTCTAAGAACTAAGGAAGCAGCACCGATCACATTGTCAATGTATTGGAGAAAAGAATTGTGGGTGGGTTCCCCATGTAGGACTGAAAGAAAAATTCTACATCCCCAAAGAGACAGCCATTACTGGGCCCCATGCAAGTATCCATAGCCACACCTTTGATATGGAGAAAATGAGATGACTTAAAGATAAAAGTTGTTCAATATGAGAACCAGACAGAGGAAGTTGGTGGATGGTGATTGTTCCAGCCTCTTCATGGAAGAAGTAGGCAGCCTTCAGACCATCTTGATGGAGAATGAGTGTGTGGAGAGATTACATAAATATGGTAAGGAGGGGATTGCTACAGCCAGAAACCTAAATTGTGAAGCCAACATAAGTCAGACAAATTGTGAATTTAAGTGGGAAGAAACTGAATAGAGGGAACAGTAGAGCCAAGATAGGAAGAAATAAGTTCAGAGGAACAGGCTGAAATGATGTGCCTGCCAGGACTGTCTGGATATTTGTGGATTTTAGGAAGGAGGTAGAAGTGAGCAATGCACAGTTTGGGGACAGAGGTGGGAAGCTTTGGAGGGGATATCTTCGGAGAAAGAGGTCTGTGACAGCCTTGGAAACTACACTCTGATGTTCAATGGTGGGGTCATGTGTGTTGAGATAGGAAGAAGTGTCTTGAGGATTTGCACTCGGCTTCTGTCAGGTAGAGGTGAGCGTGCCAGATGACAACTGCACCGCCTTTATCAGCAGGTTTGATACCAATGTCAAGATTGGACCGGAGGGAGTGGAGTGCACCAAGGTCGTGTTGAGATAAGCAAGAATGGGTGAGAGGTGCAGAGAAATTAAGGCAGCCAGTGTCACGTTGGCAGTTCTTAATGATGAGATAAAGTACAGGGGGAGAATTCAGGTGGAGGGGGATTATTGGAGTGGTTGAAAGGGTCAGTGGTTGGGGGGGTGGAAAGAGGGTGGAGGGGGAGGACTCTGGCCCAAAGAAGTAGGCACAGAGGTAAAGGCAACAAGAATTCAGCAATATCTCATGGCTGAAATACATTGAGGTGGGGGATTTAAATGGATAGAACTAATTCCTTTGAGCACTGATTTAGCATCAGATGGGAATATTTGGCAAGAGGTGGTGGAGTGAGAAGGGATGGAGTCAGAGGAGGAAGAATCCAAAGGGGCATTGGTACCTGAGCTTGTCTGTCTTAACGCCTGAGAGGAAGAGAAGAAGTTTCTAGTTATAGAATCGAATGAAATGGAACTGTGGATCAGAAAGTTTTGGTATGTGCATATGGTGGTGCAAGGCGCCAAATGTGGATCTCAATGTAGCAGGAGCAGCTGTCTGAGGAGCATATGTATTTGAGATGCTTGTAATCTTGGATGAATTTGAAATATGAAGAATGAAATCCATGCGGGTTAAGACTGAGCAAGAGACATTCACTGAGGAGGGATGTTTGGTTGTAGAAGCAGTGAAGAACATGGAGACAGAGAAAGCAGTTAAGGTGGAATATGCCAAAAGGTTAAAATGGAAACCTCGCTGGAGAAAATAGCAGAACTTCAAGGTTGGTATTCGGTGAAAAGTGGCAAATTAAAACAAAATACTGCAGATGCTGAAGAAACTCCCACAGACTTTGCAGTATCTGTGGAGAGACAGAATTAATGTTTTTTGAGTCTGATGTGAGTCTTCAGAGTGGAAAGAACCTGGAAAATGGTAGTTTTTATTCTGTTGACAGGGGAGAAGCCTTTTGTTCCTTAATACCTGAAAGGAAGAGACAGGAGTGAGAATAGCTGCCTTAATATCAAGGCAGCCTTTCACTGAGTGGCATTAAGATACCCTAGCGATCTGCAGTCAGTGAGAATCAACAAAAAACACTCTAGCTGAAGTCATCCCCAGTAGAAAGGAAGATTGTTCTAGTTGGTCAATCACTCAGCCTCAGGACATCATTACAGCAGCTCCTCAGGCTGGTGCCTTGGTCCAAACTATCTTCAGTTGCTTCATGAATGACCTAACTTCCATCATGCAGTCAGAAGTGGGGATATTGTGGAATCCTCTGTGAATGTTCAGAACCATTTTTGACATTGTAGAAGACATGGACAACCTCCAAGCTTAGCTAAAAATAGATTAGAGATAGTCAGCATGGTATTGTGTGAGGAAAATCATGTCTCACAAACTTGATTTTTTTTTTCAGGAAGTTATCAAAAAGGTTGACAGCAGTAGATGTTGGTTTTTTGGATTTTAGTGAAGCCTTTGATTCCGCAGATGCATGGTAGACTAATTAGTAAAGTTAGGTCACGTGGGATTCAGGGGGAGCTTGCCAATTGAATATATAATTGGCATAATGGTAGGAGACAAATGAAGGGTTGCTTTTCGGAATGCAGGCCTGTGACCAGCAGTGTTCCACAGGGATTGGTTCTGGGTCCTCTTGTCTATATAAATGATTTGGACGAGAATAAAGAAGGCATGGTCAGTAAGTTTGCAGAAGACACCATTGTAGACAGTGAAGAGGGTTTTCTAAGACTGCAAAGAGATCTTGATCAAATGGGTCAATGGGCTGAAAAATGGCAGATGAAGTTCAATCTGGATGAATGTAAGGTGCCTCATTTTGGTACAGCAAACAGGGGTAGGGCTTAAACCGTTAGTGGTCGGGCCTTGGGTAGTGTTCTAGAATAGAGAGACCTAGGGCTGCAGATACATAATTGTTTTAAAATTTCCATCAGAGACAGGATGGCTAAAAAGGCATTTGGTGTGCTTGCCTTCATTGCTCAGACCATTTGAGTATAGGAGTTGTGATGCTATGTTGAGGTTGTACAGAACATTGGTGAGGCCTGTTCTGGAATACTGTCCAGTTCTGATTTGCCCAGTTATAGGAAGGATATTATCAAGCTAGAGAGGGTTCAGAAGAGATTTACCAGGATGTTACCAGGTATGGAAGGTTTGAGTTAGAAAGAAAAGCTGGGACTTTTTTCACTGGAGCGTAGGAGGTTGAGAGGTGACCTTTTTATAGAGGTTTATAAAATTGTGAGGGGCCTTGATAGGGTTAATGGTAGGTGTCTTTTCCCTAGGAGGGGGATTTCAAGACTGGGCGCACATTTTTAAGGTGAGAGGAAAGAGATTTTAAAGACTTGAGGCAAATTTGTTTTGGAGGGTGGTTCATGTGTAGAATGAGCTTCCTGAGGAAGTGGTGGATGCAGGTACAATTATAGTCTTTAAAAGACGTGGATGGATATATGAATAGAAAACGTTTGGAGGGATATGGGCCTGGATCAGGTAGGTGGGACTAGTTTAGTTTGGGATTATGTTTGGCGTGGACTGAAGGGTATGTTTCTGCTCTGACTCCAAGTGGCAAGTAACATTCGCACCACTCAAATGCCAGGCAGTGACTACCTCCAAAAGGGAAAGAATCTGACCGTCACCCTATGTTTTACCATTGAATGCTAGACTCATTGCTGAATCCCCTACATGAACATTCTAGGGATTATCATTGACTAGAAACCGAACTGAATCAACTATACGGACATTGTGGCTACAAGAACAAGTCCAGTTAGGAATTCTGTGGCAAGTAACTTAGCTCATGTCTCCCAAGTACAAAGCTGATGGGAATGTGATGGTATACTCTGCATTTGCCTGCTCCAGTGACACCATGCAGAACAAAGTGACCTGCTTGATTGGCACCCTATCCCCCACCCTCATTGCCACTGATGCACATTGGCAGCAGTTTGTAGCATCTCCACAACATTGCACTAGCTCTGAACCTGATAAACCCATGACCTCTATCATCTAGAAGGAAAAGGGCAGCAGATGCATGGGAATAACACCATCTAGAAATTCCAATCCAAACCACACTGCCCTGACTTAAAACTATCTCACTGCTCCTCACTGTCAATGGACTAAAATCCTGGAATTCTCAAAGAATAGTGAGTTTCCCTACACCCAGAGGTCTATGTGGTTCAAGAAGGCAGTTGATCACCACCTTAAGGCCAATATAATGAGTATTAAATCGTGGCCAACTAGCAACATCTACATCCTATGAATGAATTTAAAAGCTGTAGAAGGGAGAGAACATCTAACATGCAAAGATGCATTGCTTTTATGTTCATAGTTCATTTCTAATGACAGTAACTTTCACATGTTGCTTCTGATAGTGTTCAAGATTTGAAACCAGATTGGTATGATTTGTTTTATCTTCATTTCCTCTAATAAAATGAGTAATAAATTTACAAGCTGTCAACTGCCATCTTAAGATGAAAAGCTTTGCATCAAAATGTAGTGTACTTTTATTTCTGTACTCAAATGTGTTTTTATATGTTGTATATCTTTCTGTAGTCTATATGTGCAGCTGCACATATAGAGGGGGAAGAAAATGTTATGGTGTTGTTTCATGGTCTCCGCTATACTAGAAGGAGAACTGTTGACACAGAGGCAAGGAGAGCTCTCCTAATCTTCAATAGGACTATGAGATCCTTTCTGTTAACCAGAGAGGGCAGATGGGACCTCTGTCATGGGGTGTTGTTTAGATGAGACTTTCACAATGTAGCAGTCCTACAGTTCTACACCAGAGTTTGAGCTTGGACCTGCTGCATTAAAGTAATATGTATATCTGCCTGATCTTAAATATTTTCTAATCAACCTGTTCAGAGATGTTATTACATACCTCAAGAGCAGGTAGGATGTGAACCCACTCCTCTGGGTCCAGAGGCAGGGACATTACCACTGGACTTGCCAGATCTTAAATACAGAGTGCTGTACAGAAGTTACAATTTTTTTTGTGTTGCAGTATGTAACCTTGACTAATTAAAATCTTTTGTTTCTCTCATAGGTGGATGATGACCCAGTGATGGGTTTTCATCAGTTATTCCTTCTGAAAAATGATAATGATAAGTGGATCTGCACAAATGACATGTTCAGATTGGCTTTACATAACTTTTGCTAGGCTCGTTTTGCAACTGTAGTCATATTTCAATCAGCCAGTTGTCTTTTACACTGAAGCAGTGTATTCACATAGGCACTGTCGTGGTCCAGGACCAATGTAATGAACTGAATTGCTTAATGAAAATGGTTGCAGTATTTTGTCTACTAGATTTTCAATCTGTTCAGCATTCAAAGGTCAAATACATGATCACAGTGTTTACTCATCCAGTGAATGAAAATGACAACGTTTGAAGTTATCTATAAATGGTTTCTGTAAGTGTCATTTTTTTCATGAAATAATTTGAATCTTGGACTTTACTGGTTGGATATATCAAAATTTGTTCTCAGACTTGCTTCATTATTTGATTTTTGAAAAACGAATAAAATAGTCAAACTAAGCCATAATTAAAATGAAAACTTCTGATGTGACCATTTTATTCATGAAGGGTACTAGACAACAGTTACTAATCAATTCAGAAATTTCATCATACATATTTGACAGGTTCTCAAAAAATGTTCAAGACAAGGACCTGTTTTTTGGATTTTATTTTAAATAACTAAGGAATGTCTAGTGGGATCTATAAATATTTCATCCACAGTGATGGAAGTGGAGCTGTAAGAGTGCAGTTTTGGAAAGCCCTTTGGTTATAACCAATCATTTGACTACAAAAACAGAAGTTGCTGGAAAATTTCAGTAGGTGTGACAGCATCTGAGAGGAGAAATCGGTGAATTTGTTGGTCCGGTAACCCTTCCTGAGAACAGAAGTCACCAGACCCGAAACGTTAACTCTGATTTCTGTCCACAGATTCTGCCAGACCTGCTGAGCTTTTCCAGCAACTTCTGTTTTTGTTTCAGATTTACAGCATCTGCAGTTCTTTTTGGTTTTTAATCATTTGACTACAGTAATTGAGGAACTGAGTCAAGACTTTTAAAAAGACATTTTTAAAAGGCTTTAAAATTTAAGGTCTAGGTGAATCTGGAAGTAGCAGCAGTATAGCATTGATTGGCAGCACTGATTTCAACAATGGAGAAAGTCCTCAGCTTTGGATTACAATCAGATGGTCACTAAATGGGAAATGATGAAACTATACTCTGGCTGGCAGTTCTTAAATTACCGGAAAGACAACATGAACGATCAAAGTTCACTCATAGTTGTCAGGCTATTGTGGCACTTGAAGTGCAGTGTATTGGAGCATATCAGAAATTTTGAAGGTACTTGGGGCAACCAAGTCTAAAATTGGCAATATCACACCAGAATAGCAATTTGTAAACAATATTAACAACTGAAGATTGTTTCAAATAATTGATTTACACACATTACTATGATTCAGCATTATTCTTCAGATATCAGCCATTTGCCTTCACAAAGATCAGGATATATAGAAAGCTTCCTACAGAAAAGTAAAATAGAGGTTAAAGGAATGGCACTGAAATGCAAGTTTGACAGCACCTTTTATGGAGGTCGTGACGATACTAATTGAAGCAGAACTTTGGCAGTTCAGAGACTATATAAAACTATTGAGCAAGAGAAATATAAATTTCTGAAAAACAATCTGCTTTCTCGGTTTTAGTTTTTGGGGAGGGGAATGAGAGGAGATGATGGGTGAAATACATCATTGTATGTAAATAGGATCAGGTTAATTGTTGAGCCAGGCTGTTCGGTTCTTGAGCAAATTGAAGATCAGAATTGGGGATGTTTGCTATTGATTTTACACTGTTCACTATTTGTATTAAGATAGTGAAGAAACCTTTATCCATATACTGCAAGATCTACACAACATGTAGGCTTAGACTGTCAAGTGGGAAGTAACATTTTTGTGCAAACAAATGCTGGGCAGTGACCATCCCCAAAAAGAGTGCGTCTAATCTCAATATTACCATGGCTGAATCTCCTCCTATCACTTTACTTGAGGTTACTGCACACCAGGAGCTGAACTGGACAAGCTATACAAATGCTGTGGTCACAAGCTAGTCAAAGCCTGTTCACTAGCTACAAGAGAGCAAGTCAGGAGTCTGATGGAATATTCTCCATTTTACCTGGATTGGTGCTGTTTGTAAAATGCTGTAGAAACTCGTCACCATCCAGGACAAAGTCACCCGCCTGATCAGCACTCCCTTCACCACTGATACACACTGCTGCCACCATGCACCATCTATCAGGTGCTCTGCAGTGGTTCACTGCTGTTTTCAAAGCATCTCCAAAAAACTTTTGACCTTCACCACCTAGAAAAACAAGGGCAGTAGATGCATAGGACCATCACCATTGGCAGGTTTCTCTCCAAGCCACACACCATTCTGTCTTGAAGCTAGATTGCTGCTTTACTGTTGCACTGTCAAAATCATGGAACTCCCTTCCTAACAGGACACTGGGGGGTAGTCGTAGTCAAAGGACTGTAGTGGTTCAAGTTGATGGCTCACTGCCACATTATCCAGGGCAGTTAGCAAGGGGGAATAAATGTTGACCAGACCAGTGAAGTGCATAATCCCATGGATGACTGACTTAAATATATTCCTTAATTGTACACTTCATGTATTGTATGATGCTTAAGCTAGTCTAACTCTGCTCAGCATTACTTACAGCTTGAATAACTGAAGGAAAATGTTAGCTACTAGGGGTTGACTTCTTGATGTGTATATGTAATCCATGATTCAGTCTATCAATTCACTCTGCAATGATTAGAATTGTCGCATTTGATCCAATCCTAAACAGGATTTGACGCTGAGGATTTATGGGTTTGTATGTTTTTCCTAATGAGTGTTTCTTTTTTTGCCATGGTGCTGTGAAACGGTCCAACACAACTGTCAGCTTTAGACTTTGCAAAACAAGATGAAAGCTGTCCTACACCTGCATATACTATATGGCTGATGTAAATTTTAAATACTGTATTGTGCAGTTTTTGGTTTACCCAATTTGTATGGGGGACTACCCTGCCTCCTCCTTCATACTGAGTCACACAAAATTGAAGTTTCCATTGCTTTCTGGAGGCTTGTTCCAGCTTGACTTCTCCACAGGACAGTAACCTGTAGGCAGTTTCTGTTTTATGATTTGCAGCCTTGGACTTGCTCCTGTACTTGGACTACATTTACTGACAATGAGCCTTGATTCAAGTAACATGCTGACTAGGGAATGTCTGCCATTACATAAATCAATTCAACCAAGAAAACATTCTCACTCTACAAGCTTAAAATATTGTTCCAATTTAAAAATAAATGAACACAAATGGAAGTAAAATACTGAACAATTAAGTTAACAAAGAACTTTCCTTCCTGTTTCCACATTGGAAAGTCTTTATGAATAGTAATTTATATAATTCCATCCATAATGAATAATACAGGAAACCGAGCCAAGTAGAATCCTAAGTTCTAAAAAGCATTATTTTCATCAAATTTCAGCCATTATTTTTGAAATTGATACCAAAAATATAACTGTCTACCACACTTTGTTAGAAACCTTCTCAGGTGTGCATTCTTTGAACACAGCTGGCAGAAAATAGTTAATGTTCACAACTTGAAAATCAGCATCAATTAATATTTATAACAACACAAGCAAAATATTGTGGGTGCTGAAAATCTGAACTACAAGGAAAAAGCCCACTGGAAATGTGTGTCTAATCAGGAAATATCAGAAGAGAAATAGTGAACGTTTTCATGTCAATTGCCTGATGAAGATCACCAAAGCAAAATGTTAACTGGTGAGTACGTTCAGCGATTTTTAAAATTCTATTAACACCTGTTTAAGTCAAGAATGACAACTCGGCCTACTGAGGAACTGAAATGAAATTTTTTTTCAAGTGGATGGGAAAACTAATGAAGGCATGGAAGATTACAATGGGTTGAATCCAATTTGTGTGTTGGCCTTTATCGCTTTGCTTAAAGAAGTGAGTCCACATGGACTAGGGCTGGGGATAACTGCTGATTAATGGTGTACATTACAGAATAGCTGACTTGTCTTTGGACCAAAGTGTTCACCTTTCTTAGAGCAAATTTCACTGTATTTGGAGCTTCATGAATCATGCTTGGAAAAACCTTAATCTAAAGGTATATACTTGCCAGGGATCTGGAAGATTGGGTTCATTAGATTGAAGTAGTGGACAATAATTATTGAGCCAAGTAGGTTTTCAGCATTTTTTGTTTTCTCTTTTTGGCAGTCTTGAACTACTCCCAGCTAAAGGAGCTCAATATGCACTCAGATTGGGGATGATCATTTCTTTGCAGAATCTTGCGTCCCTTATTTCCTTCAGTTGGAAATAGGACTTTTTCAGCAATACTCAAATGTTATATCAACAACTTTTGCCTTGACCTCATCCAGATAGACGTGAGTGTCAAATTACAAACTGAACAACCATTTGTACTGGTAAATTGACACTGGTCAAAGTGTTGCCATGGCAAATGTACCAATCTTTTCCCCATACTGTTACATTCTTAAAAAGTGCAATTCCTGCACACATTCCATTCCTTTCTTCCTTCAAAATATATCTTTGTGTAAATCGTTTCAAGGTAATTTGTTTTCTGGGCAGTTTTCAAATGTTGAATGTGCTAAGAATTATAGGAGGTCTTGTATTGCGCTGGAACCATCTTTAGGATTTAGTCAAATTTTGGGTTCAAGTTCCACTTCAGGACTGGATGCCAAGAAAGGTGCGAGATTATCAATTTAAAACTTTCAACATATCCTAATTGCAGATAGCAAGGGCAAGAGATTCCTGGTTACAAGAGGGTCTTTTTGAGAATATTGAGTGTATTTATGCCTTTAACTGCATTGTCTGAATATCATTGATTTAAGATCAGGATTTTAGATGATCAGGTCTTTTTTTTTTGGCCTCCCTTACTGACCTCTCTGCGGCCTTTGACTCAATTGTATTCTTCAATGCTATTTCAGTTTCCAAGTTCAGTTGGACTACCTGCCCTTTGTTTCAGGCCAATTCATTCAATTGGCATTTCTTCGATTAATGGTTGGTGATAAGTAATGCCCTCCAAGGATTAATGCTGTGCCTCCACCTTTTTGTATTTCATATGAATGGGCAAGAATTTGATCATGGTGGAATATATACAATTTTTATAAGGTTTGAGGCATATTGAACTGTAAAGTTTTTTTTAAAAAAACAAATACACAAAGGATGCAAAAAATTAAATGACAAAGCAGAATGATAGTACACTTTAATGCATTGAGAGAGAAAAGCCACTTTGAGACAGGATTGGGGAGTATGGTCTAAATTGAGGAACACTAGAAGAGAAAAATTATCAAATATTTGGAATTCAAGTGTGCACATCATTAAAAGCAATCAAAGAAAAATAGGTGAACATCATAAAATTCAGAAGTAAGGAATTCTTGTAATATACAGGATCCAGTTCGATGGTATTTGAAATGATATTTTGGTTTAAGGTGCCCAGATTGGGAAA